ATAGGTTTTAATAAAATTTTGTCAAATGTTTTATGGTTTTTCTATAGGGATATCCCTATATATCCTTCATTGAGTTATTTCCTATCGTTCTCAATAGGGAAAATGTAAAAGTTATGGTGTGCCTATAGATAATTTCCTATAAATTTTCTATCGGGCCGTATCCGGAAAAAAACATGGACAAATGCACATATTGAATCCGGTAGTGCCCGATAGATTATTTTATAAAGGTCTCTATGGGGTATTTTAAGCAGGGATAGGGAAGGGTAACTTTGTAGGTATGCATACCTAAAAAGTTACCTATACATTTCCATTAGCTTTAACAATATTTTTGCTTGCTAAAAATACCTTTACCTATTATAATTGTATTAATGACAATAAATAATGTAGAACTTACTTATTTACGTCAAATATTGTTTAAAAACCATTTGCGAATATCTATCTAAGACTTAAACCACTATTTTTTATATTATCCATGCCATTGTTATACAACTCATATTACGGGGAATTTAAATTACCCGCGGCACGGCACAGCACTACGGCAACATCGCAGCATCGCAACAAATGCTGCTACGCTCTGATTGGTCGTCGATGGGTTACTTTTAATGTATCCTGGTGGCGAGATAGGAACTTCCTATTAGGAAGGCATTTTAGTCTTTGCAATATTGGTTGCCTACTACTGGCGTAAAGTAGAAAACCTATTGTTTCTGGTATATATATATATATATATATAAATAATTATAATTAATTATTATTATAATAATTCATATTAATTTAATTGCAATGTTCCAGTAATGTTGCAGGAACCTTTCAAAAATAACATTTAGTAACATTGCAATTAATACATTTAAGCAACATTTTATTTGTAAATGTAATGTTCCTGAGCCGGACATAAGGCTTTGTTGCAATGTTCCTGCAACATTGCCACAAGGATTTTTGTAACATTACATCTAACAAATGTAACGTTCAGTAACATTGTAGAAATATTATTTTTCCCAGTGGGAAGTGAATTATCACTTTTCTTATTTCTTCAGAAACAGCCTTTCCTCGGAACATTATTATTTGTCAACCACACCGAAAGCATAAATATATACTGGAATGTTACTACCGACTTGCTTACAATTATTTAAATGTCAAATATTATCTTTACTTTTAGCACAGCCGACTTGCATTAAAAAATCTGGCCATCCAAGTTAATGCATTTTTGTCGATTTTTTTGTATTGTTACCAAACATCCAACTTAAAACTAAATAATATACATACACATATTTATAAAAAAAATTTCCAACATGAAGATTGACCAAGAATTACATATGAAAAAAAATTGTTGGCTTTTCATCGCATAAAATTACAAATTTTATATTTTGAGTGGTTGGGCCAACTTCACTGAGACAGGGCTCGTATAGTTGTCGCGGCGGTTTTTCGACATTGATGACGCAATTTGAAACATTCGCCGCGACGACTTTATTCAAGTTTTACACAAAAAATTATTAGGTGAAGTGGGGTAAGTGCGCCTTTGGAGTAAGTGCACCAATTGGGTTTAAAAAAATAACTATTCAATCTGCGCAGTTCTCTGAAAAAAATACTACTATTTATTTTGGAAGTTTATATGGGTTTTAAGTAAACTAATATGCAAAATTACCTTTATTGTAAAATAAGCTAACTTTGAAGGGGTAGGTGCTCTTGGCCCAAAATGTTCTCTTATTGGGCAAGTGCACCTACCTTCATGGGGGAAAGTGCGCCCACTTTCCCCGGAGTTAGTTTCGGCCTACACAGTTACGTATGTTCTTGTTTCTAAGCACATTTTTTTTATAGGTACCATAGGAAGAACAGGCGAAATGAAGTTTGACATCAGTTTTCCGCATTATAATATTAATTAGATTTACTGTATGAAGTTTACCTATCTTTGTTTATTAATAGTATTGTATTTTTGTTTGATTATTTCATAAACAGTTGAGAATAAAAACTATCAGTTAAATGTAATAACTTAATAACCAATAAGTCAATTTAATTGCGGTAAATTACAAAAAATTCACAAAACTGTGAGTTTGTTGCACTTGACGTTCGTACTTATAATATGGGAACTAACCGGTGGTGGTGCACTTGCCCCAAATATGGGGCAAGTGCACCCACATGTATATATTTTTACAAAAACCTTTAACGCAGAGTTTAGAACTGCCATGAGATACACCACTAAGGGAGTTGTATACATGCCAAAGACTGGACTCTTACCATTGTTGTAAAGAATTTTATTAACTATTCGATTTGTGTTTTGCACTTGGGTGGGTGCATTTACCCCACTTCACTACTTTATACTATTACGGGTGCGAAATTTGAACTTTTTATGGAGTATTGAAACTCTTCCGTGTTTATTCTTAGGCCCAGTTGTATAACAGTTGGTTAACAGCTGATTAGCTGATTAACTCTTAAATTTAATTTAATTTAATGTTTAGCATGCTCCGTGACAGACAAAGTGTACCACACTTAGATAATAATTAAGTGTAGTACACTTTGTCAGTAACGGAGCACCGCTAAACATTAAAATAAATTAAATTCAAGAGTTAATCAGCTAATCAGCTGTTAACCAACTGTTATACAACTGGGCCTTAATGTTAGCTTCTAAGCATCACAATGTACGAATATTTTAAGGTTAAAAATTACGTCGCAATTAAATTATTTGACTTCAGATATAGTTTTTATTTTGTTAAATAACACATCTGATTTTTTGTCAAGGTGGAGTAAGGTTTCGCGGAAATACCCTTTTAATTTTTACTCGGTGAGTGGCACTTTTAGGTGTGGAGCATAGTACAAAGTTTGTATTAGAAACCAAACAACAAATATAACACCAGAGCCCTCTTATTTTGGGAAATCATCTGTATGGAGTTTGGACTCCTTATGTAAGCTCCATGGTTAGGTCGATAACTATCGATAAGTATCATTAAATTCCGCTATCACAAAATATTTTATATGATTTTAAGAACTATTTTTAATAATCAAAAATTGTTCTTAAAACCAAATAAGTAATTATTATAATTTTAAACATTAAAAATAAATTTTGGCGTACTTTTTAAACCACTTTATCAAATAAAGTTTATTTATTTTACATTATTTAGGGCCGGGACTTTCCTGCGCGCCTATACATCTAGATATTTTAAATTTGTAAAATCATAATGAATAATGATGTTTATACAAATTTAAAGCTTGTACAATTAAAATAATTCATGATGATTGTACCAATTCTTAAACTAGTAGATGGTTTAAAATATCTAGTTATAGAAGAATTACCGCAAATTATAAATTTAAGTACGTTGACGAGTTTTCACTAGATGTAGGGACCCTATGATATTCCATAGACAAGATACTACTAGACGTATAAAGTCTAAAGCCGGGTCTACAATTGTCGCAGGGGTCCGATCGCAGAATATAAGCTTGCGCAAAGCACCTCGCGACGCGACGTGGCGATGGAGCAAGGTTCTTTTGTCAGCTGGGTGCTTTGCGCAAGCTTATTTTCTGCGATTTGCGACAATTGTAGACCCGGCTTAATGTTTCGATTCGTTGAATCGGTTCATAAGGTCCAAAATCGCGTTTTGTTTTGGTAAATAAGGTCGAAAATTGCGGTTTGTTTACATGTCTGCAGACAGCGGATTTAAAATTCCGTGGATGTCTAGTCGTTTCTTGTCTATGGGATATTCTTACTCTTTTTAAAATAAGGGGAAAAACACAATAACGAAAGTAGATTCGGAAAATAGAAAAATATATAGAAATTCGAATTTAAAAAATTATTGATAAATATCGATAACAATTGATACATTTAACATCCCCACATCAAATCCATATAAATTCGAGGAGTGGGGGGTCTATAAGAATTTCGCACGTGTACAATGACCGAGAACGCAAAATTGGGTTCTAAGCATCTCCCCTTCTATCCTTTGCAGAGATAAAGAAGGTATCTTTTTAACTTCTATTATTTTGTGCATCTGTCAAGCGTCAAACCAATGTTTACCTTTACCAATTTCGTAAATAATAATTTTGAAATTAAAATAAGCCAAAAGTGCTTGTCAATTAACCTTCTTTATTTCTGTCGTAAATCTTCCAACCAATGCGTGCACGTGCAGTCAGTCACGTGAGTTGACGGTCTATGCGCGGTTGATTAATAATTATTTGTGCGCATTGTACACTTTCCCTCCTTTATCGCGCTGCCAAGCGACGCGTTTTCTATCTATCTCGTCACCCTAATATAACAAGGTTGTATGTTAAAAACCGAAAAATTTGACTTTTATGCTTCTACAAGGTTTTATGTAATCCATCCTTGACATACAACTTGAAAATAACTTTATATATATACATATATATATATATATATGTATACATAGAATATACATTCTATAGAATTATTTTTAAGTGGTAGGTGAAGCGTAGGCCACGTATAATCCTGTAGAAACATAGACTTAAATTTTTCGTTTTTTTTAACATACAACTTTGTTATATTAGGGTGACGATCTATGCGGATTTGAAGCCACAGATTATAAAAGGTTAAAGCTCCTAAATATTGTCTTTTAAAATCATGCAAACAACTTTTTTATCTGTCAATAATGATATCACAATATTGTGATATAATCTTCAGCCAAATGTATTGGGTCAATTAAATTGACTCAAAAATGGGCTTAATCATTTGATTGCTGGGTTATTATTTTACAATGCTTTGCCAAAATTGAAAAGTTCTAATTTTTTTTTGTAAAACTGACATGACATAATTTTTTTTAAATCATGCTTATGACAGCTTAACATGCCAATGGATTTGGAGCGCTCTGATTATCTAATTGCTCAATTTTAAAAATTTGTTTTCTGTGACCGCAAGACAACATTTAAAAACCTTTATCTTGGAAACAAGGCAAGAAAAACTAAATTTTAAAACTTAGCTTCTCTGAGAACATATTACCACATTATAAAAACACGACATGTTAAAATAACACCCTTGTACCCTTGCACTTAGTAATACTTACAGCTTTAATTCCACAAATTACTGTAGTTTGACCAATTTTACAAATAGCTGAGCCATCAGCTGTTTCTACAGAGTTAACATTAAGCACAATAGGTCTGTATTTATCGAATTCCCTTCCATCTGGTCTTATATTATTAGCTAAGTAATAATTGTAATACTTTTGGGGGTGAAGAGTTCTAAAAACAGCAAAAATTACCTTGATTTATAAAAGAAATGTTGTCCAACTTACTTATATTCTACGGCCATTATTTTTGTGTATTATTTATTTGGATTTAGTTATTTAAAAACAGACAAATTGTGTTAAAAAATGAACATGTTTTTCAAAATATAACCTACAAAATTCCACGTAGCAATGTTGTCAGATTTCTGTACCGTTACAAATTTTTCAATTTTATTATTAAAACAGTTAACTCAGATTTTTTATACGAATTTGCCCTACATGAAAATATTAAAAATTTAAAACAAACAGTTTAATTCTCTAATAGTAAATTAACTAAAAATTAAGCAAAATAAATACAATACAATTTTAAATAAAATATACGCGCATGCCTACTTACGAATCTTGTCAGTTGACACTCATTTCCTACTGTGATTGGTGCATTTTTCAGTTGGCAGATGTTTAACGGTCTCAGCTGTTGCTATTTCCCGCATTTGTTTCGCGACCGTTGCTTGATCGGTTTGATTTTCGGATAGTTTTTCTTTCGAAATTTGCAAGATTTGTTCAGTTCTTATCGCGTCGTGCTCTCTCTGACTAGAGAGGTAAATCGAAGTCAATACAAACCCAGTAAAAATGGCTAGTTTAAGAATACACGAAGACCAAGAAAACCGCGTCCCCGACATTCGGCAAAAACAAACCAATGTGCAACAAAAAAGGCGAGTATTAGGGGTCATCGACGCCAATAAACCATTGAATGTACAAAAGAATCTCAAGGGAAAACAGGTAAATATAAATAAATCCAATCAAACATGTTTAATACAAAAAAAATGTAGCCTCTAGGTGTGCAGAATCCTATTGCTAACAACAAGAAAAATGAAGCTGAAAATGTGGTCCAAAGGGAAAACAAAAAAAAACCTCGTCAATCCTGTGGTCCCAGTCGCCCAATTTGAAGCCTTCAAGGTATATGAAGATGAAGAACGTATGGCTAGAATTGACAAGATACTTAAGGAAAAATGCAAGAATTCAAAGTCTTTTTATAAAGGAACAGCTGAAGATAGATTCCTAACAAAGACTGAAGTTGCTGAAATGGAAAGGATTCGTAAAGAGAAAGAAGAAGAGGAAGATTCAAAGGATCGTCTTGAGGATGTTGAATTGGACATTTGTCCAATGAGTATTGAAAAAAACTTTGATGATTCCATTGAATTAGCTGAGGATGTTATCATTAAGACTGGCAAAAGAAAGGATATCTTCTTTGAAATGGAAGAATACCGTGATGATATCTTCAAATATTTGAGAGAACATGAATTGGTAAATAGACCAAAACCAGGCTACATGAAGAAACAGCCTGATGTAAACTCAAACATGAGAACCATTTTAGTAGATTGGTTGGTTGAGGTTGCAGAAGAATACAAATTGCAAACTGAAACCCTGTATCTGGCCATTAACTATATTGACAGATTTTTAAGTTACATGTCTGTAGTTCGAGCTAAATTGCAGCTTGTTGGAACTGCTGCAATGTTTTTGGCTTCGTAAGTTACAATTTTACTTTTTAGTGATGTTTTACATTTACATTTTTTTAATTTTTTTTCTTAGAAAATATGAAGAAATCTACCCACCAGATATTGGTGAATTTGTTTACATCACTGATGATACTTACAATAAGCGTCAGGTGATTCGTATGGAGCATCTCATCTTGAAAATCTTAGGATTTGATTTGTCTGTTCCCACTCCATTGACTTTTATTCACGCTATTTGCGTTTCCAACAAACTGACTGAAAAAACTCTCTATTTGGCAATGGTAAGATAAAATTCATTGTTTTTTTTTTAATAACAAAAGTCCTTACAGTCAAACTTTGAACCATGACTTGCCACAAAAAAACTTGAAGACTTCAAGTTATTAAATATATATAATTCTTACTCTTGGTGCTATTGCCAACCAATTTGATTCAAGTTATTAAAAATTCAAGCTATCAAAGTGTGACTAATTTTAATTAAAAAATCTTAATTTTTTTCCTCTTGTTTTGTTAATTTTTACTTACTATTAAAGGGTTTAAAAAAATTAAAATATCAGCTGAATTTCAGCATATTAAAATAATTTCATGTTTAAATATTTTAAAAATTAATCTTTTACTTAAATTTGATGGTCAATGAATGTCAACACTGTAAATCATAGGATGAAAATTTATATTTAATATTCCTTGGGCAATATCTACTTTATAATTATATGAAAACAAACAATGAGGTGTGCGAATTTGTGAAACATATTACTTTTTATCCTTCTTCGTGGAATACAATATAGAACATTACAAAAAAATGTATGTGCACAGCATCACTGCGCATACCGTATGTCACGTGCTATGCACCGAGCTTTCCGATTGGTAAAGCCGTCGTCGACTGTCCTGGTTTTATGATCAATTAATAATAATAATAATTACATACCTTTTCTTTTTGCAGCAAAATATATTGAACTTCAAAAAGCACCCTTATTATTATTGTTGCAGTCTTACATAAGAACATAAGAAATATTTTTATAAAAGTAATAATTTAGAAGATAATTTTATTAATTGACAGGTGTGGACAGGACAAGATAAATCTTTTTTTTGTCTCATCCACACCTTTCAATTATTAAATTTATCTCTACTTTTATAAAATACCTTTTGCGTTTTCTTTAAATTAATGTATAACCTAATAAAATAAGAATATTTTTGAAAATTTTGATGCCAAAATATTATATAATAAATTATCTACAAGTTTTTTTATAAAAACTAATTTATTTGATTCCAACCTATACAGGGTGTCCCACAATTAGTGCGACAAAATGAAGGTGTATTATCTAAAGACCCCAGGAATTACAGAAAATTGTTTAAAAAATTCTTTCTTCATTATTTAATAAGATACAGGGACTTTTCTATCCAGTCTGACGTAAAATAAATAACCTATAACTTAAAGTAACAAATTTTGACATTTAAATTTGGCATTTTCTAACTTTGTTGTTTGTTGTTAAGATGATTAAGAATTAAACTATTACTTTGTTATGAGGCAATGTTGCCTTATAAAGAAAATATGACTCCCCTGTATCTTATTAAATAATGAAGAAAGAATTTTTTAAACAATTTTCTGGAATTCCTGGGGGTCTTAGATAATACACCTTCATTTTGTCGCACTAATTGTGGGACACCCTGTATATAAAGTTTGTTCATACCGAACATTTGGCCAGTCAAATGGATGTCAGGCCTTGACGTCCATTTGACAGTCGGGGACATACGCATGCGTACTATTGCAATAGTAATATCGCGACAAATTTTTGTATTGGGCATGCGATTTTGGTATTGCGCATGTCCCTGACGTCCATTCGACAGTCCAAAAGCTCGGTAGGAACAAGTATACATACTACCTTAAATGTTTTATCATATTTTGTAAAATAATTTATATTTTGAAATTTAAAAATGATTTGTCTAATTAAAAAATTGAACTTGTGCTGTTCTTAATCTCACCAATTTAATTCATTTTTAAAAAGTGCAAAAAAATATTTTTCCATTCCTTTTTTATGTGTGCAAAAATGGTATGTTGTGCGAATAGTGGGAAATAAAGGAGATTCCTCGCGCACGAGCATGACCAATAGTCGCACACAATATTTTATCTGGCATCTGAAAACTGTTTTACAGTTTTATCCTTACTTTTTTCCAATTTTAATTTAAATATAACTTAATAAATGAACAATCTTCCTGATTTGTTATTCCCCCACTCTCAGCAGGGCCACACAATTAAGTATTAAATTTTTTTGTAAATTAAAAAAAATTCATGTCATTACTTTTTTGTTTTAGGGGGTCTTATAACTCGGCTCGCAAACGTGCAAAAAATGTCTTTATTCGTGTTGCATAAATTACTATTTACAAGTATTGTTCTACTATACCTATAGGTAATTTAAGAAAAAATATGACATTAATCCCACACTTAAATAGCAAAATAACCACCACTTACTTTATATTACTTAAACTGAATAATTTTTAATTAATAATATATTTGGAGCATTTAAGCTATTAGGACAAAATTATCGTCATAAAACAGCAGCTAAAGTATTCATAAATAAGGTGTCATTTTATATGTATACTTTTAAATATTTATGCCGTTTTAAATTTTAAATTATGCCTACTAAAAAGAATCTTAATCTCACAGTTTTTAGTCTATTGGTAATTTATTTAATGTAATAAAGCCCTGTATCAAGACTATTTATTTATACAGGTTGTCCCATAGGTAATGGTAAATATTTACACTTTTGCAACATTTTCCCATTGGAAATTTTCAATGCACTTAAAATAAAACTTTATTTTTCTACAAGCAACTTTTCGCACTGTTATGCGGAAGCCATATTTTTAAGAAAAATTGAAGAATAAAAAAGATACGTAGTTTAAAAAAATGGTGTAGGTGGCGCCCTCTATAAGATAAGTTTTAATGGGTTAAATATTTCAATTTGCTATGTCAAAAAATCTCAAGATCCTAAATTTTTCTAAAAATTACTAATAACACTTTTTATTTTTAATTTATCAATACTCAACTCTTAACAATAATAACCATTCTTTTTCAGGTGGATACAGTTTATTGTTTTTCATTTTTAGTAATTGTTTTTCTCGTTTTTCTTGATTTGTATGGAATTAATTTTATTTTCAACAATTTTTTCGTCTGGAATTGGTCGTAAATATTCGAGTTTATTAATTAATAATTATAATAAAAATAAACTTTTTTTATTGCGAAAACATAAACGGCGGAATTTTATTTGAAACATTCATTAAATTTAAAATCTTTATTGTTCTGAAAACGGCAAGCATCAAGTCAAATCTCTTGCCAGAAACCGGTCTTCAAAACACAAGTTAATTTGATGAAATCTTTCACTGGCTTCATTTGGTTTTGTTGACAGTTGTTGTCGTAAAAATCAAAATTGGCGTGCAAAATATGTATTCAAAAAGACATGCACGTCAAATGTCTTAAATAACTGCATTATATTGTTAATGAAAACGCGTAGCAATTGTCACGGTCATGTTCACCTGGGTCAGTTCAAGCCATCGGGAAGTAATTTTTAAATAAAAAAGTTAATCGGCCATTTCTTTGATCATTCAATGCATTTTTTTTTTGTGCAAAATTTCTTTTTCGAAAAGTTTTTAACGGATCCGACCCATTTTCAAAAAACAAAATTTGATACTGAACCAACTTTTCGGTAAAGGGACAAAATTGGACGGATGAAAAAAGCCGGAATTGAACAAATTTGGCCGGGAAGTAGGACGAAAAAAGGCTAAAAATTTCGACTTTCCACCGTTATCGGTTTTTGAGCCACCGAAATTCGAGAAAAAGCGTTTCGCATATTTACATGCAATAGAAAAGTTATTTAGAATTCGATTATGAGTCGATCCATACATCTATCGGTGCTTCTTTATAGGCGCCCCACAGACTTCGTTCTTTTTCATCAATTTTTATTTATATTTTCATACTGATATTCTATAGATGTTACACGCTACAAGTAAGAAAATTGTCCATAAGTTTCAATATCATCCATTTAAAATTGCCCACAGATGTCAGTTTGACCCGGAACCTGGACGCGTCCAAAAAAAACCGACGATGCGGGACGACGCTTTTACACCACACACATAAGTTTTTTGTCTTTTGACATGACGTTCCGAATCGTGGCGATACAAAAAGATGAACAATAACGAAGTCTGTGGAGGCCTTATGATGTTTGATTTGGTAAATTTTCACTTTAGCGACTTTTCCGAAAAACGGCAGGAAAGTTGCCAAAATGCCAAAAATAGGTGTGGAGGGATGTAAAAGTGCATAAACAATCGGCGCAGGGTGAAAAAGTTGTATAATTATCGCGTATTTAATAAAAAAAGGGGCTGATAATTGAAGTGACTTACCGTGATTTTCTGTGAAAAAGAACATGCAGCGAGCCAAAAACACGTATCTAATAGACGTAGAATTTGAAAGTGGAAGTGAAAAAGCGTGAATTATGAAAAACAACATGAATTGAGGAAAATGCAATTTTTAAAATCAGGTAATTTGAGGTTATGACGATTAGCTGTCATCTTGGTTATGCAGGTACACTAAAATGGGCAAAGGTGAGTGAAACCAACCCAACCCAACCGACCCCGCCCCATTGGCCCCCCCCGCCCCATTGAGCAATAGAGGTATAATATATCTATGGGCAGGCTATTAGATACGTGTTTTTGACTCGTTAATTGCTCTTTTTCACAGAAAATCACTGTAAGTCACTTCAATTATCAGCCCTTTTTATTAATGACGTGATAATTATACAACTTTTTTACCCTGCGCCGATTGCTTATGCACTTTTACATCCCTCCACACGTATTTTTTACATTTTGGCAACCCCCAATCCGTTTTTCGGAAAAGTCGCTAATGTGTAAATTTAATATTGATTTTATTAAATAAATATATATAAAAATGTAATATTCGGCTTTGGCTATAATTCGAGTGTTTAACCTAGTGATGGGACAAACCCTAGTGATACTGTCACAGTACCTGTCAAAACAAAAAATCCAACGAGTTGGAGAAAGGTTGCATAATTACAAGACAATTAAAATGAAATGAAAAAAAAAACAGTGGTTCTTAAAATATTTGAATAAAAGTTTCACATTTGTCTACATTTTCTATTTTCATCCAATTTGTAATTTTTCCCCTACTAAATTTTAAGTTGGACGCCATATTTAATCTTTACATGGTTAGATAGAAAAAAAATCAGGGAATCAAATCAAAACTCAAAATATAGTAGCAAAGAAATTGGATGCAAATGTAGATTATTCTGTATGTTTATACTTTATAAGTAAAACTTATTTTTTTTTTCAAATTCACAGGAATAACGATTTTTGGTTTTAAAAGGCCTGTAATTATGCAACCTTAAAGCTATTCAAATAAAAAAATACCCATACTGTATATATTATACAGTGTATTTATTTTTTTGTATATTTTTTCACACGCAAACTATTAAATAAAAAACTAATATGTTTTATAAACTTGTATATTTCTGGCTAGAGGACGAAAGTCAATGACCTTTAAAAAAAAATTCAATAATAATTTATTATACTTATGATGGATATTTATTAATCATTAATATAATATAAAAAAGTTAATATAGGTGATTAATTAGGTAATAAAAGTTTAAATTATAAACAAAACATGATAAAAACGTCTAATTATGTATTTTGCATTATTTAATATATATTTTAATTGTAGTATCTCGGTGAATTGTCAATGTTAAATGGTGAAGCCTACTTGGAGTTTCTACCTTCCACAATAGCTTCTTCTGCATTGGCACTGGCTAGACACACTTTAGGACAAGAACCATGGACTGAACATCTTTCAAAATACACAGGGTATGAGTTAAATTCATTGTTGAAATGTATTGAATTTTTGAACATGATGTTCAGGATGTCGCCCACTAGCTCACAGCATGCCATAATGGACAAATACAGGAACAAAAAGTATTTGAGTGTATCAAGCTTGAAACCAAATCCCAAGCCAATCTGTTAAGACTGTATTTTATATAACTGATTTTGTTTATCTAAATAACTGGGACGAATGTGCCTTGATTTTACTTATTTTAACTATTATTTTTAAGTGTTTTCACTGAGCCTGCGTGATTTTGGAGTCCAGGCCAATATGTTTGAATAAAACTATATGTAATTTTAAAATAAGCCATATTTTCCAATAAGTAGAAGTGATCTGCACAATGACGTATATATAATATCAACTGTATTAAAATTAGCAAATTATCAGGGGCATTTTTACAGTTTACGACTTAGCCAAGTATTTGTGCGCTTATTTTAATAATTTGTTAATTTATAATTTAGATACTGCCAAGTGATAATACCTTAACATTGTTATCAAATTTTTTATTATTGAACTCGACCACTTTGTTTTATAACTGGACTTGAATTTGATGAGATTAACCTATCAGCAGCCATAATAGTATTTTTGTATTAATCCAAAAGCTGGTTTGTTAATCTAATCACTATTTTACATGCTAATTTTAATAGTATCATTAAAGGTTGTAAATATATTTATTTTTAGCGTTATTTTTAGGATTAACTTTAATGTTTTTTATACTATTGCCAGCTATATTTGGAATTTACGCTTATATGACTACATATTTGTTTTTAAAATTAGGTATAATTTTTGCAATAAACTAAAAATAAAACCACTTTTTTTAATTTTCCCTAAAAAAAACAAAATTGTGTATAAATAATTTAATGAAACAAAAAATAACAAGCCTTTTTGGGTTTATGTTTACATAACAATCTTAAATTTCCAAATATAGAAATAATACAGCCATAAATCTATTTTTTCTCTTGACATGAAAAATGTACCACATCCCCGTTGGGATATCTTACCAGTGCACTAAAAACAAACAAAAAATCAAGGTAGTATCTCAATTTAAAGAGTCTTCAAGAGAATGTCTTCAAAATTTAATGTATGATTTTGTAAGGCATCATCAGAAACATTCACAAATAACTTTTACAGCACCAAGATGATAATTTTTACAGTTACATTTGTTTTCATACTCCCTTTTTTATTTTGTATCTCACAAGAGAGATTTTCATAAAAAAAACTATAATAATCAATCTTAAAGGTATCAACATGATCCCGTTTGTTTCTCAAATTTTGGAAACGAATTTTTAAAATCTATGGGATATCTGTGGGAAGTAACACTTCAGCACAGGTGTTATATTCCACATAATCTTTAAAAATTTCGTTTGTAAACTCGAGCAACCAAAGAGGATTAATTACAATTACTTGTATTCTATAAAACCTAAACTTTAAAGTTATCTCAAGAACAAATCTTATGTTACTTAAGTAATTATTAGTAATTATAATTTACCCCATAAGATTCAAGATAAAAAATATGAATGTTTCATTGGCAACCATATTAAAACTAATATTTAAAGGCCATTTTACTGAACTAAATATATTTAAATATCCTTTTGGCTGTAAACCTGTGATGTCAAAAATTAACATATTTTTACCTTTGATTTCCAAATCTTTTCTTACAAACAGGACACACATTGATATCAGTTATAAGAACGTGCTGACTTTGTAGTGCCAATCGCATTTCTTGACATTGCAAATGTTCAGCATAGAGCAACCCTTTCATCATCTCTTTGTGCCTTCGATCGTGAATGACTTTTTGGAGAGCTACCAACAAAAATTTATGGACTCTGGAAACTAAAACGCTGTCTGGCAAAATCCTGAGGGCGTCCAGCGGATTCATTGCCATAGCGTGTTCTTCGAGTAACTTCAGGGCCAATTCAACGTCTGCTTGAGCGGTTTTAGGCGATAAAATCGTTCCGGGGAGAGCTAATTGACAGCTATCAGGGTTCAATATAAGATTAATTAGAAATACGTACACCTGAAATAAATATTATATTATATATTTTTCTTAACACCGTGGCGAAAGTGCGATTTTCTGTGTATCATAAAACCCGAATAGAAGAACATAGAAAATCCACTTTTGCTAACCATTTAATTTTAGAACACCACACATAATTTAAAAATTTTACGTATTGCCAATAAAGGTTAAATTTACCAGGGACTAGGAGTAGTATTTAAACTACTAGTTTCGATCCCTGAGCGAGTTAAATTCGCTCAAACCAGTTCGAATCAATCCGTGATGCGAACAGTCGAGACGGCAGCGAGATTTAATCTGAGCGATATTTAAACGCCTTAAAATAATTTAGATCTGCTCACGAGTTATATTCTCCGATGTATAGAAAGTTTTGATACTTTAGTGATTAAATCATACCAGATCATATTGGGATTAAATCCCAACGAGATCGGTAAGGATCTTTTTAAGAGTTTTAACTTAAAACTTTTAAGTTTACGCTTGGGCTTGGTTTTGCTACTATAAAGACTTGGGCTTGTATTAAAAATAGTTTTACTTTTTTAATTAGAGTAATAATGTTCTCTAATAATTATTAGAGAACATTTAAAGTAAAAAACATTTAACAAGAAATTTTAAAATTAACAATATAAGATATTTTTTTTACTAAAAAGTTATTAATAATTGGTAATTAATAATTACTTATTATTAATAATTATTGATTATTATTAACTTTTTAGTAAAACATTTTTAAAGATTTTTCGATATTTTTATATTGTTAATTAATAAACATGGCAAGATGGGTATCTATAAAAAGGTCTTGATAATTGCAATTAATAAAATTATATTATTTACCCCCTCTCTTTCCCCCAATTTAATAAGTTTCTATATTTCAAAATTAACTTGTCAAGATAAAAAGGTCTTAAAATTTTTAATTTAAAAAATATATAATAATAACCCCCTATTTAAAAAATATATATTGCAAAATTAATCTGACAACATTGGTAATTACAAAAATGTCTTAATAATAACAATTTAAAAAATATTATTAATTACCTACCCCCTTCCTCCCCCTAATTTTTAAAATTTTTATGTTGCAAAGTTAACATTTCAAGATGGGTATCTATAAAAAGGTAATTGCAATTAAAAAAATTATATTATAATTAATTATATTATTTTAAAATTAATATGTCAAGATGTATATATGTATCTATAAAAAGGTCTTGATGACTGCAATTAAAAAATATATATTAATTACCCCCTCCCTCCCCCTAATTTTAATAAATTTTATATTTAAAAATTAACATAACAAGATGGGTATCTATAAAAAGGTCTCAAAATTTTAATTAAAAAAAATAAATAAACCCCTGCCTGCCCCCTATTAAAAAAATGTATATTGCAAAATTAACCTGGCCACATTGGTAATTAAAAAAAGGCCTTAATAATTACAATTTAAAAAATATTATTAATTACCCCCTCCCTCCCCCTAATTTTTAAAAATTTTGTATTGCAAAATTATCACATGTGGCAAGATGGGTATCTATAAAAAGGTGTTGATAATTGCAATTAAAAAAAATATTTTATTTACCCCTAATAATAAATTTTAAATTTAAAAATTAACATGGCTGATGGGTATCTATAAAAAGGTCTTGATAATTGCAATTAAAAAAAATTATGTATATAAATTAACCTGACAAAATTGGTAATTAAAAAAAGGTCTTATAATTTAAAAAATATAATTAATTACCCCCTCCCCCCCCTAATTTTTAATATTACAAAATTAACATGGCAATATGGTTATCAATAGGGGATAATTAATATAATTTTTAAATCGTAATTATTAGGACCTTTTTATATATATAGATACTAATCTACTATAGATACTAATCATGCCATGTTAACTTTTCAATTTAATAATGTAATAAATTAGGGGGCAGAAGGGGGGTAGTTACTATAATTTTTTTTAATTGTTATTTTTTAACACCATTTCATAGATACCCATCTTGCCACGATCATTCTTCAGAATAAAAGTTTAATAAATAAAGGGGGACGGAAGGGGTAATTAATATAATTTTTTAAATTTTAATTATTAAGACGTTTTTATAGATACCCATCATGCCATGTTAACATTGGAATATAAAAATGTAATAAATAGGGGGCAGAAGGGGGGGGAGTTATTATAAATTTTTTAATTGTAATTTTTACACCATTTCATAGTTACCCATCTTGCCACGTTAATTCTTCAGAATAAAAGTTTAATAAATAAAGAGGGAAGGAGGGGATAATTATTATAATTTTTTAAATTGTAATTATTAAGACCTTTTTATAGAAACCCATCATGCTATGTTAACTTTGCAATATAAAAATGTAATAAATTAGGGGACAGAAAGGGGGTAATTAATATATTTTTTTAAATTGTAATTTTTGACACCATTTCATAGATACCCATCTTGCCACGTTAATTCTTCAGAAAAAAAGTTTAATAAATTATCGGGGAGGAAGGGGGTAATTAATATAATTTTTTAAATTGTAATTATTAAGACCTTTTTATAGATACCAATCTTGCTAGGTTTATTTGCAATAATAACATTAATAAATAGGGTGGCAATTATTTTGTTTTTAAATTGTTATTATTAAATCATTTTAATGATAACCATCTACTTAAGTATAATTATGTTATTTTTGTAATGATTATTACCATAATATTAATATAGTTTAATCATAGAGAAATGTATTGTATAATGTAACATTATTAATGTTATTATAAATACCACTTTTTTATAAAATTTGCTAAATAAATATATACCATATATCAATAAAATAATTTTAAAAATTAACAATAATATTAAGGTATTTTTATAAAATTAATTTAATATAATTTTACAATTTATTAATTTAATAGGACTAAAAATTTAATAATAATAATAATGCTTTATTGAACTAAAACCAAGTTCAAAGGCTATTGACCGTAGTCCTTCAGCCGATAAATTTTGATATAAGTAAAGGGTGTCCCATTAAGACCGCCTATTTTAAATTTACTGTCATTTTTTTTGTGTCAATCGTACAGCGTTGTTGTTGGACAGTGGTCATGTGTGAACATTGAGGTTAAGTCATGGAGATTTACACGGACGCACAACGCATAGAAATTGTAAAAATCCACTATCGAAATTTTTCGGAAACGGTTTGAAGATATCGTGGATTTTTCGGTCACCATAAAGAACCTTCTCGCCGTACTGTGGTCCGATTAATCGAGCAATTTGAAACGATTGGGTCAATTCAAACCAAAAAGAGACATGTCCGTGCAGCTCGGTCTGCTGAAAATATTGCAGCAGTTAGTGAAAGTGTTGAACAAAATTCTTCCACCTCGATTCGCCACCGTTCCCAGCAATTGAGACTCTCTCGAAGCAGTTACAGCGAATTTTGGCCAAAGACCTGCATTTTCATGCGTACAAGATTCGGTTGACACAATATTTAAAGACAGCAGACCATGCACAGCAACGAAACCATGGAATTATTGAGGACAAAATTTGAAGGCAAAGTTATCTCGCGTCGCGAGGATTTGATGTGGCCAGGCCGATCATGCGATTTGACGCCGTTAGATTTCTTTCTTTGGGGTTTTTTGAAGGAAAAGGTTTATGCTAATAACCCAAGAACAGTTCCTTAACTAAAACATGAGATTCGACGGGTCATTGATGAAATTGAGCCGGCACTATGCCAAAATGTAATCGAAAATTTTGTCAAAAGTCACGAGGCGCCCATTTATCGGATATTGTGTTCCATATTTAACCTCCATGTCTTCCCTCTTTATTGCAATAAAAATATCTTAACTTTTTAAATAAACACAGCATTTTTTTTAAATTTTAAAATAGGCGGTCTTAATGGGACACCCTTTATAAATATAACATTTAACAGTGTAATCATAACATTTATAAAATCAAGGTACCCTTGCGGCCTTGAGTTTACGGTGAGTTCACCGTGAATTCACCTTGAATACACCGTTTATGTGCAGTGAATATACCGTCCATTTGTGACATTTGTAGACGGTAATTAAACGGTGAACTCACGCTGTTTTTGCGATAAATTCACGGTTAATTCACGGTGATTTCACGGTAAATTCACGGTACAGTACCACGTGGTAATGTAAATAATAAATTATTTTAATTGTTTGTAAATGGTTGTTTACTTTTTAATAAATTGTAATTTTGTTGGTAATAGACGGTATTAATAATTAAATAAAAAATTAATAATAAATATTAAGATTTTTTTTATTATAACATTATTAAATAAATAGTTTGTTTATACTTAAATATTGATGAAGCGCATTTATTTTACAAATACTAAATTCACAAGTTCAACAGTAAAATTTAAAGGGTTTATAAATTTACCTGCCTACTTAAACATTATATTGTTATTCTGGAAGTTATAAACTACCAGTACATATTTAATAAACGACGACATTGAAAAGCCAAGTCCGTAGTGGTTCCATTGGCCTTGAGTTCACGGTTTATTCACGGTGAATTCACCGTGAATAAACCGTCTGTGAAAAGTGCGTGAATTCACCGTCTAACTACCGTTTACAAATGTCACAAACAGACGGTTTATTCACGGTGAATAAACCGTGAACTCAAGGCCGCAAGGGTACTTATAAGTATATAACAACAAAAATGCACATCTACTGTTATGGAGCATTATGGAATTTTATTAATTTCTGCATGGTGGTTTCTACTGGATGTTTGTGTGTAGATTCGCGATTTTCTCGTTCTATGCAGTAATTATTAAGTATTTCGAAATTAATGTCTTTTTTGCTGAACTTTTCTGCCAACATGTTAATTCTTTCTTCTATTGGTTGAATTTTTGTTGTTACAATTGTATAGAGTAGGATATTAGGGGTTAAATAAAGGATTGTTAGGGTGGCGGATTTTTGTGATTGTTCGTAGGGAAGTTGTTTCTGATGTCTTTAGGTTCTGCATAGCTGGTCTTTTGCAATTTGGAAATAGGATAAATCCGTACTCAATGATGGGCCTGCAGAT